TGTTCTTGTTGAATTTTGCAGCAGAAACCTGGAATGCAACTACAACGAGTCACTCATTTCCCTTAGCACAGTTAGCCACGAGTATTTCCCAAGGTCCCATCAGCAGGGAGGAGGCACAGAGATCTCAGGGGGTTTTCATGCAGGCAAACTGCACAAATTACTGCAAGCAGTACTGGGCATAAAAGTTCATTTTACACATTCTTTCTCTGGAGAAGCCAAGCAAAGATGTGTTAATATCACCTAATTCAGAAACTGGTTTCATCTATTTGCACGATATTTCCAATGTTCCTTTTGGTGTGTGTAATCTGGAGAACTCTTAGACTGACTAGTGTTTTATTGTGTTCTTTTTTTTTTTAAACTAGTCAGAAAATGATGAGAAGATAGTAATATATGACCACATTGGGCCAAATGTCTGCATGGGGGATCACAAGGTAATTAAATTAAACATTTTAGTTTTATATCTTCTAAGTTTTTTTATTAGGAAGGAGAATGTATTAATTGTAAGTCAGCTATATCTCTGCCCTATTTTTAAGTCACACCTTGAAAACGTTTCAAAATGGAATTCAGCTGCAGTCAGTCTGTGTATCAGAATAGCTGCTTGTAGGAAATCAAAGAACAGGACAACGGGTGCTAGAATGAAAGCAGGATATGGTGCAAGTGAAGAGGAGCAGCCATCTGTACACTTAAAACTCTTCTAGCAAAACACAAGTGATTTCATAGCTTCAACCAGGTTGATGCATAGGTGTTTATTAGTAAAATAACATAGTGGGAATTCCATGTTCAAACAACAAGTGATAAAAAGAAAATAGAAAAAGGATAAATAATTACATAAATACCAGTTGTTAAAATTAATAAAATACCTGAATTTACTGTCTTATTTGCTGAAGATACCAGATGGAAACCTAAGTTAGAAATAAAATAAAACAGAGTATTTGCTTTCTTTGAAAAAGCCAGTTGAGGAGTAGGAGGAAACCTGTGAAAGCCTATCTAAAAACAGCACTGAGGCTCTTGAATGATAATTCAGAGAGGGATAGTGGGTAACTGTATATGTGGATGCATGTGTACACACAAATCTGAACTCACAAATACATACCCCTATTTAATGCCATGGTCAGAGCTCTTGTGAGACAGAAAATTGTTTTCTATGGAAAAATGCTCTTAAGGCATTTGGTCCAGAATTGTCCAAGGTTTTAAAATAGACCAGCTGACTAACTTATGCAGTAAACAAAAGGCTTTGGGTCAGCCAGTTCAGAAACAGCAGGTTTTGTTTCCTTCATCACCAAAGTGGTGCAGCACTGTTACAAAAGGGAGATGTGTGTGGGACCTGAGCCTCTTCCCACAGAAACCTGTGGAAAATTTTCCCTTAGGTTTCAGTGGGAGCAGAAATCTGTGAGGAGAGGATGTTGTTCCCTTGTGCATTTTGTAATTAGATTAATTCAAAAACTTGTTGCAACATTTTGTTTCCAGTCATAGAGAAGTTTTTGTTGTATTTACTACTGACTGTAAAGAAACAAAAAAAAAAAAACCACAAACGTATATTTCAAACATGTAACTTCTATTTTTCCCTAACTTGCTGCAGCCTGTGTTCCTGTCCTTTCGAATAGCTGCTGGGGCAGGTAAACCTATTGCAAATGTGCACAAGTGTTGTGTCGTGCAGTGATGTGGTGGTAAATATCATCTTTTTTCTTTACGTTTCTATTACATTTTCTACATCATTTCCCCTGTGTTTATCTTTCTTTTTTTAAAAATGCCAATTCTGCAACAGGAAAAAGATGCCTACGAGGTGAGAAGATTTCCCGTGAAACCACACTGTAGCCAGGAGGGAAGGCAGCACACTGAAATCTGTAATCCTAACAGCTGTATTGATAAATCCAGTCCTGAGTGCCACATTTTTAGACTGCTGATCGTACACTGCTTCAGCATCTGGACTCTGTTCAAGAGAAGCCTCACATACCTCACTGTCTTGTATGTTCATGTGACATCAAGTAGAAATGTGGAATTATTTTTTATATATATGTCACAGTTCTGTTGCCAAAACTCTAAATAGACAGCAGAGATGTTACTAGATGTATTCTAGATTTCACAACCTTCAACTTTTAATAAGTGTTTGTCGATGTGGAAAAGCTATTTCAGCATATTACAAACTTTTAAAGGTATCATACCCATTATATATCTTTACCACTTTGGGATTTTGTACATTGGATTGTATAGATAGAGATATTGATGGTTTTAAATGGTATTTTCTTTTTTGACCAAGGCTTATGGTTTGTGTTTTAGTTTTAGTATTTTGGTTTGCATTTTTAATTTTTTTTCTCATTTTATTTACTATACTGCCATGTTACATGGTTTTTGAATCACACAGCAGCTGCTTTCTATACATACATATATATGTGTGTGTATATATATGTATGTATGTGTATATATACACAGATATATAAATAATTTATAAACCTGACCAAAACTTATGCTAAATATACTTTCCAATATGAATGCTTGAGAGTGCCATATCAGCAGTAAGTATTGGAGTCTTAGCAGGTTTAGTTAAGTGTACATCAACAGCCAACATTTATATAATAAATAATATATAGCAGTGCCATCCTGGATACAGATATATAGCATACTATATAGCATATATATTAGCAGTTTCACTTTGTTACTCCTATAATCTCTTCTTTCTATGTAATATTAAGGATTGAATGTGAAGTTCTTAGCTAGGTTTGGGTGTAACTTTCCAGAATTTTGTAAACTGTTTTTGTCTGTCTTTTGTTACTGTTTTATGGTGCCATATTCTATATTGAAACAATAACAACACGGGAGAAGAAAACAATAGTCTGCTTCAAGCAGCAACTGTATTGGACACAGACTGTATTTATACAGTATTAAAAAAAAAAAAAAAAAGAAAACAACCATCAACCCAACTGTAAATTTTCCTGGTTAGTAGCTCAGTGCAGCCTACAATATAGTCTTGTTACAGACATTTTCCTCCCACCACTAAATACAACATTAAAAGGTGATTAGGGAGTCTGTTGATGAAACACAAATGTATGTTTTATTGATTTAATTTAGAACACTACGGAGTTCATGGACTGCGTGATGGCATTAGACTGATGCTTGATTTTGGTATAAATCACTACCATTGGAAATGATTTGATGTCCGCTTGCAGAGTTTTCTCAACAGTACAGCCCAGTTTATAGCAAGTATTGTTGCCCAAAGGGTGTCTGCAGCTCTGTATTGTTACTGTGCCATGTTGCATTATAACCACACAGTAATTCTATTTAAGCGAACTCAACTCATGATAACTCTGAAGGCCTTTAGAAATGAGTACTCTGGTTCTCAAGCAATAAAACTAATCATGGTGAACATGGCTGTGTCTGCCCCTTTAATTTGGTGACTACAGGGAAATTTTTGAATTATCACATTTCTTATTGAGATACCTTTTAATCTGCCAATTAACAAGGGTGTTTTTCACATGAAAACCTCTATGATAGGATGCAGTTCTGGTGTTAATCAAAACACAGTACAAACCGAGTAAAAGGCGCTGAGGAGCTGGTATGGGAGTGCTGATGAGAGGAAGGTGATGCAGCTTTCCGAGCTGTTCACAAGATGCTAGTCCTCAGTAAATGTGCCACCATAAACTCCTCCGTGATTATCGCGAGTTTCAGAGGAAACCTGTCTAGCCTTTTCCAGCAGGGACCGAAGCCCCGAGTACAGATGAACTCGCTGTAGCCCGAAGCTCCCCGGGGCTGCAGCGGTGACCTGCCGGGGTGAGCTGCTGAGAACGCCCCGAGCTGAACCCGCAGAAATTCATAAAACGCAATTTTCACATTTGAACAGGCCCGGGAGGCGAATCCGGGGGCGCGGGGTGAGCCGGGCCGGGCCGGTGCCAGCGGAGACCCGGGACAGCCCCGGAGCCACCGGGGGCTCTGGGCCCGGGCTGCTCCCCCTCTGCCCGGGGCCGTGGCTCGGGGCTGCCAGTCCTGCGGTGCCCCGGAGCCCCCTTCTCCCGTAACGCCCCCTCCGAGCTCGCTCCGTGTGAGAACCTTGGGAAGAGGCAGGTGGGAATGATCAGCCTCGAGCACAGGTGTTCTTATCCAGCCGCTTCCCCCCGGGAGCCCCAGCACCGGCCCGGTCTCAGCGTGCTCACTGCCAGACGAAGACTAACCTGACCTCAGCTCGAATTTTTCCTTCTGTAAGCACGGCAGAACTGGGCGCGGTTCAGTGAGTAGAGACCTGCGGGACTCTCCGCAGGAGCGAAGGGGAATCAGACACAGCGAGCGGCGGCACCGGGACCCCGCCCGCAGCAGAACCGGACCCGTGTCGTGCCGCGACACTCCGGGAGCTGCTGAGGGCTCCCGTGCGGGCCAAGGCACCGAGAGAGGGTGAGCAGGGCAGGCCCGGGCGATGCCCTCCGCGCTGCGGGGAGCCGGGAGGATGCAGAGCGGGGGCCGGTGGTGCTGCAGGCGCTGGGCCCGCACCGGACCGGGCAGCAGGAGCGCCCGCGGTGCAGCCGCTCGCTGCCTTTGCTCGGGCTGCGAAGCTATAGCTGAGACACTAAAGAGACGCTCTCGTTCCTTTAAAGAAAAATAAACGCGGCACAAAAAAAGCGTCTTAACAACGCGGGCGTCTCACAGCCACCCGGACTCGCGTGTGCCAAAGGGGAGAAATGCGGAGTTCCGGGCGGCTGGGAGCGCTTTAGCTGCCGCGGAACCACGCGGAGCCCGGGTCGGGCACGGGTACGGCCCAGAAGCCCGGCGGGAAGGCGGGGGAGGGTGGCGGAGCTCGCAGGCCGCTGCCGGATCTCAACAACTTCGGCCCCGTTTTTGCCGCGGCCGGTACTCGGGCACGGGGATGTGTCCCGAAGCGCTGCACGGGCCGTTCGGGTGCACGCTCAGCCCGCCGGCCCCCGGGCGCAGCTGCTCCTCTTCCTTTGCGGAGCAGCATCGGGCACCCTGCAGAAGCTCTGGTGGCCCCGGCACAGAAATGTGGGAAGAAACTCGCTAAAGGAGAAGGTTGTTAAATAATTTATTGATTTATACAAAGTCTTTCCAACACGTGTGGAGACATTCTAATGTAAAATCAAGTGTCCATTTTCCTCTCGTGCTTTTTTGGGGCATTGGTTTGGCTTTTTTGGTATTATTAAGCATAAAATCCAGAGGCAGGAGAAATGAAACTGCCAACACACTGAGGGACGGAGTGAAAGAAAACTGCTGTTTTTTACACTAGAAATATACATCACAAATTGTGAAATTTACTATATACAAAGTGGCTGAGCTCGGACTTGGGACCCATAGAAAACGTAACAAAACCTGATTGTTAGGAGCAGGAAATTAACAGGAAAGCTAAAGTAAAGAACAGGAAACCTTAAAGGAACACAAAACCCAAAAAGTTGAAAAAATTTCTCTGAAATTTACATCGACGAGAAAGAAAATAAATTCATAACTTATTCTGTAAAAAATATATACATTTCACATACATCTTAGGCTGTACAACACACCACTTCAAACACCCAGTTTACACTCACCCCCGCCGCGGCCGTCGGCCCCGCGCCCTCACAACGTATCCGAGCTGGTGCTGCAGGGGCTGACGAGGGACAGGTTCGTGGATTTGTGCTTTTTCAATAGCCTCGTGATTTTTTCATCGTCTGAGTTGGGGTCCAGGGGCTTGTTGTATTCGTCATCGTCCTCATTGTCCGAGCTCTCCTTCAGCTTCTCCGTCTCCGAGTCGTGCTTCTTCTTTGCCGAGGCCATCTCTGCCGCGTGTCTCTTCCGCCACTTGGTCCGTCTGTTCTGGAACCAAACCTGGGCACCGGCACCGGGCACAGCTCAGCCACGGCCTCGGTCCCGCCGCCACGTCTGCCCCCGCCGACCCCATCCCATCCGCACCGCGGGCACTCGGAGCGGAGCCTGCCCCGGGCAGAGCCTCGGAGGGCTCCGGGAAGGGGGCACCCCCCTGGGGACACCTGCCCGGCTCTGCGGGGCTGCACGACGGTTAAATCAGCAGCTTCCCGGAACAGTCGTTCGTTGAAAACAGAATATGATAGCCAGAAAAATAAGAATTTTTGACTTACAGTGCACCCCAACACTCAGATGCACCTGCAGGATTTGCTAAAAAATTTGCGGGATTACACAATGTAAAGTAGTGCCAGTGGACACAATCCTTGTGGAGAAGTGACCCTTTACAAAAAATTACCTGCGGGAGGCTTTTTGTCGTTGTTGTGATGGGGGTTTACATTAAATATAATATGTCTATTTATTTTTAATCGTTTACAGCACAGAGAGCTCTAAGCACAAAATAAGTAGAAATTAGCCTAAAATCTATCCAATATCGAAATGTAACTTCAATTCTAACTGACTCTAAAAAAAAAATAAAAATCCTGAATAATTGCACGGTGTTCGTGGCTACTAGTAATTACCGACATGGCAGAAAGCGGCCGCGGCAGGGAGCGGGAGAGACCTACCTTCACCTGGCTCTCAGTCATCCCCAGGGAGTAGGCGAGCCGGGCGCGCTCTGGTCCTGCCAAGTATTTCGTCTGTTCGAAGGTTTTCTCTAAAGCGAATATCTGCTGCCCAGAGAAAGTCGGTCGGGAGTGTTTCTTCTTGCCGTCCTTGTCCAAAACCATCCCAGTCTGAGCTGGAAGCGGAGAAAGAGCTGCATCAGGGATGAACTCTGCCCTGCCCCCGGCCCGTAGCCGGGCCCCGCCAGGCGCTGCGGAGCCGCTTCGGGGATTCGGTTCTAAAGCAGGGCTCCGTCCAGGACAGACCTGGGGCCGTGAGGACCGAGTGACCCGCACCGGGCCTTCCTGCCGCCCGCCCCGTCCACCGCGCTCGTCCGCCGGCTTGGGGCCGCCCCGGCTTTTCCCAGCACCCTGCAAGAACCGGCCGCACTTACCGGGACAGGCGAGCCGGGGGTCTCTCCAGGGAGAGCCTTGCACCACTCCCGGCCAGAAAATGGGCGGCCGTCCCGGCAGCTCCGCCAGAGGCTTCGGGTAGCGGGAGACGGCAGCGGGACTGAAGTACATCCCGGCCGAGGCCGCCAGCCCGTTGATGCGGGGCAGCCCGCCCAGCAGGTTGCTGGCACTGCCCACGGGCCGCCCCAGGATGTCGCTTATTCCGTGCGGTGTCCCCAAGGGGAGCTGCGTGTTGAGTCCGCCCAGGGCCGGCGCCTTGAAACCGGAGGGATTCTGCAGGGCGTAGGGGAACAGGGAGGTCTTCATCTCGGCCATGTTGTGCAGCGCGGCTAGCGGCGCACTGCTAAGGACGAATGCGCTCTGGCGATTAGCATCCATCTGTCCCACCGCTAACATCTGCGGGCATCAGCGAGCGTGGGTCCTTCCCAATCGCGCCGCGGCCGCTCCGCTGGGGACCCTCGCCGGGAGCGCGGCCGCGGGCGGGACGGGCTCCTCACCGTTCGCGAGATCTCAGCGACAGCAAGTGCCGAAGTTTGATAGGAACAAGAAAATCCCGGCGCTTGCCCGCCCGCTCCCGCGGCGCGCACCTCCAAAGTCCGGGCTGAAGAGCTGCGAAAGCCGAGCCGGGGCAGCGAAACAACAGACCGTGAGTCCCGGGAGAAAGAGCCCCCACCGGCGGCGCGTCCCAGCGGACTACGGGCAATGCGCTCCACGCGCGATCCGGCGGGAGGGGGATGCGGGACCTGCAGCTCCGCGCGTCGCCCCGGCCGCGTGTCCGGCGGCCACGGGGACGCTCCGCGCCGCGCCCCGCGCGCAGATAACCGCGCGGGCACCTGCGCGCCCCGCGCCCATTGGGCGGCCACCGCCCCGCGCCGCCAGCACCGCCCAATCGGCGGGCGGCGCGCGCCTCCACCCCGACACGTCACGGCCGGGCCGAGCCGTGGGAGCGCGCGGGGCTGCACGTGGCCGCGCCGCGCCCGACGGGACCCCCGGGCCCGCCGCCGGGTCAGCCGGACCCGCCCCGCACCGGCCGGCCAGCCCCGCTCTGCCCAGCCAGCCCCGCTCTGCCCAGCCAGCCCCGCACGGCCCAGCCAGCCCCGCACCGGCCGGCCAGCCCCGCTCTGCCCAGCCAGCCCCGCACGGCCCAGCCAGCCCCGCTCTGCCCCGGCCCGCTCAGCTCAGCTCAGCTCCGCACCGCTCCACCCCGCCAGCAGCCAGCGGCTACACACCTTCCACTCGCCGCATCGGGCCCTCCCGCCGGGCAGAGACCCGCAGGGACGGCCGGCGCCTCACCGAGCAGCCGGGCAGTGACCGCGGGGCTCCGGCGGCTGCGCTGTCCCGGAGCACTGAGCGGTAATGCCCGCCCCGATCGCTGTTCTGCCGGGTAATCGGCTCCGTCTTCAGCTGCTCAGCGGCTGCTCTCTCGCGTTAGAGCCCAACGTTTTTAAAACTGTTGTAAAAAATTATCTTACACCCTGGGAATAACTGTCTAGCTCAAATTTGTTTCCTATTCTGAAACCCACTGGCCTCGCTT